TATATATATATATATATATATATATATATATATGCACTGTTGATGAGATGTACAACTATCCTGGAGCATTTTTCAAGGGCTTACAGCTTTTTAAGGTGCTCAATTCTTCTTTAGGTAATGGTACTTTGCAAAACTGCATCATAAAAAGCTTTAGCTTAAGAAATTATAATATTTCTGTACTATTTCGTATAATGCAAGTTTAATAAATGTTACTGATTCCAATTTACAAAATGTTGTGGAAAATATCTTCTACCTGTAATAACAAGCACTTCTGTGTCACTAAGACGTTCAGTGAAGAGACGAGACACAATCAGTTCTGGACAAATGACAAAACGGATTTCTTCTTGAACACATCCATGACCAAGTACCCCACCTCCAACAAACTTGTTGGCAAAGTCTACCTGAGAAGAATTATACACCATACATAAGATTCCCCCCCCTTTTTTTTCTATATTGATTTTCCACACAAGTTTGCCATTTATCAATGGGAGCAATTAAAATTATTGGTTGTCTAAAATATCTACAAAAAGAGTTAATTAATGTTTCAAAAATTAAGAGACAATATAAAATAAGAAAACTCTCAAAATACAAAAACATCAGTTACAACTGTTTCTAAAAATTCTCAAAACACAATACTGAGAAAAAAAAGAAAGACTTGACCCACATTATATTACTAGTGTTTACTAGCACCAAAGTGACAGTGACATCTTATTAAGAACCAGAACATTATCTACCACATGTAGGTGAAAGAAACAGAAGTGAAAAACAGCTAAAATCATATGCAATGTCACTATCCAGATGAAGTATGCTATAACAGTTACAAATGCTTAACAAAAGGAGAAATTTCCCAAACAAAAATTTTCTTAAGGTCAAATTCGATGACGAGGAACCCACTTTGAGACTAATAATGGCTGGAGACAAAACCTTGTCGAAACGTTGTACATTTGCTGGTATATTAAAGTTTTTCTTCATTACCCATTCAAGCCGTCTCCAGCCATTATTTCTTCAGGTCAATTTTATTGGATATATATTATATTCTGTAGGAAAATACATTAAAAACAAAATCAAAACCAAAAATAGATTTATTTCCGAGAAAAACTAAAAACTCAAATTCAAAGTTTTCAAACATAATAGATATGACAAATGGAAATGGAAAATTTATGCATTCTTTAATTATTATGTACAGACTTAAAAATATTGACATATCTAGAACATTGTTGTAGTTTATAAAAAATTTTCTAAATCTTTAAAATTAGTTTAAGGGACACTAAATTTTAACAGTCTGAAGGAAACGAGATAAGTTTTGGCAGCTACATTTAGTTGCAAAAAAAGCACTGACAACATTTGTGATAGATGTAATATTCGAAGAAATTTAAATTAACCCATTTCTTGCATTTTAGTTTTGTACAAGAATTTTACTGTTAAATGTAAAATCTCTACAGTCATAGTAATGAATAGCTGCTATGTGTCATTCTTGGGTCAAACAAGAAAAAATCTTTAGGATAACAATAAATCACTATGTTTTTCTAAACCTTTTAGTTTATCTATGATCTGTTTTTGCTAAATGTTTGTCTATTAATATAACATCATGTTTACAATAATTAATTGAAGTATAAGTCTATATTGTGGTTAGCAGACTGTTATTTTGGTACAATATTTTAATAAATTTATTTACTTATCAAGTAGGTGATACATAAAAACTGTCACCAGGAAATTAAATGTCAAAATCAGGTACCTCTCTAAATAAACCATAATATTTTATCACATGTTCTGTTATGGGACTAATATCTATTATAGTTTTTACAAACAATTTATTATCAACACTTGTATTTTAGATTATTGACATAACTTTTCACAGCTCCAAAAAGGAATGGAAATTTATTAGTTTTAATGAAAATGAATAAAAAAACAAATTCCCAGTTTGCCCCTGAAGAAGAAAGGTTCACCTTTCGAAAGCGCTCGGATTATAGGGATTCTATCATTATATATTAAGACTTCTTGAACCTACATGTTTTTCTAACATCATAAAAGAAACAAATATCAGAGCTGGGTGAATAGTAGAATTTTCTAATCAATTACTCATGAGGCTTATTAATAATTTACATTCAGCTAATTAATTATTCTCACACAAGACTAATTTTCATCTTGTTTTTTTAAGGCATTTTTGAACTACACTTCATTTAATATGATAGACATTTTCTGGCAAGTAGCAACTGAGTACAAAGGTTGTAACTAGAAGAGATAATTGTTTGCTTTACTTCTTTATTTACTGTTCTATGTTCTAAGAAGAATAAATTTAAGAACTTATTTCGAAATGGCAATAATCTATATACATATATAATGTATAGTAATTGAAATGCGACTGTATTTAACAAAATACTAGTGTACTAAAACACAGCCAAGACAAGTTACTTTGTACAGACCAAAGGTCAATTTTATGTTATTGGATACAGTAACACGAGTGAACGTGTTCTGCATCATTGTAACTTCTGTATTGTTAATCAGGCATGGCTGAAAGGTCAATATAATTAAAATAATAAATATATAAATGTATAACGTTATGAGATTTAAACTATTTAGTCTAAACATTTATGTTTTCATGTTATAATCTGTGTTCATTCTAGAATGAAAGAGGCATAATTTATATTTATTTCCTAATGTTTTATGGTGGCTACCATCAATAATGGATATGGTGTAATACCTTATGCCCCTAACAAGTAAACTCATTCTTCATGTGTGAAGCATACTTACACTTGAACCCTAACTGTTGGCTTTATGGCACATGTTTTGAGATAATTGGAAACGTATAATAGATATAAAATAGTGAATTTTTTAAATTATGGTATCAAGAAGTATAAAAATCATCTTTCACATGTTTTTTTTTGTGTCTAAATTGCATTTGTATATCATCTGATACCTGCAATTATTTTCTTTCATACAATGTGTTAGCTGTAGAGCATCAAACATGAATGAAGTTGTGGCAGTGACTATAAGGCTAATTGGCGTAGATTAAATAGCAGGTAAACTCATGCTTTAAACTTTAAGATTTAACTGTTGAATTTTAGGTGCCTGTTGGAATTTATATTGAGATGTTATGGTATTGTATTATATTTATAAGCCATGGAAAGGTGAAGAATTAACTTAATGTGTTTCCTTGTGTTTCCTATAGGTTTCTGAGCTTAAGGCATAACAAGAAAACAATCAATATTACCTGTAACATCCCAGCACCTTCTACTTCTATTACACCTTTGGAAGAGACTTGAAACCTACTCAATTTCTGTGTTGAGTTCTCCCAATCCGGTGCATTTACAAGGTACTTACGCATGAAGGTAACTGTACCTGTTGGCTCTACAAAGGTTGAAGATGTAAAATTAAAGTATGTTTTTAAATACTTTTGGAATGATTTTGACATTTTCTTAAAGTCTACAAAAGTTTTGCTTTCTAGATCACATACAACAGTTAATATTTTATAAATACAGAAATAAAGACATCAGCCAAGTTGGATCATTATTATAGATTTTGTACATCTGTATGGAAAAATGATCATGTACAAAAATTATTTTGCTTTTTTACTTTTTTTTTAATTATATTAATTAATTCTAAAAACTTTAGCTGACATAATTTGCTATTCTTGAAGAAAAATCTGCCAAGACTTAGTGCTTTATTTACAACACAAAACTTTCATTATTGGGACTTTTTAAATTAAGTTCTTATTAACTTCTATCACACTAATATTATTAGTGTTAAATAAAAAACTACTACACCAATATCTACAATCTTGGTATTAAAATGTAATTCAAATAAATGCTTACCTAAAGGAAGACATGTAGCTAATATATCAAACAATCATTAACCAGGCCATCTCCATTTTTATTCTTGTGCCATTTTGTAGAGCAATTCATTAGTTTTCACACAGTAATTCACAATAAACACCTCAACTGCTCACCACCAAATCTCTGTATCTACATATGCAGTATGGCTCTACCAGCTCTAGAGATCACTTTTATAGAAAGAATGGCACATGGGAACATGTACTTATATGAATTTCATTTGAATGCTAAAAATACAAATTTTAAGTAAAGTACTGTACCCTTATATAGAGTCTACGGACTGAAAAATGGAGAAAGGGGTCTATAAAAAAGGAGAAGACAGCATCCTTCTCAAGTGGGAATAGGAAATATTGATCATCAAAGGGCCCTGGCCATGCCTGATCATAAGATATTATCAGTGATCTACTAATGTATTGCAGATGGCACATTCCAATAAATTTAGGACTGTTGTTTTGTGACAAGCTATACTTGTTGGGACCAGTGGTTACAGCTGTGGTATTTTAAATATGTTTCATGACATCATTGCTGGTCAAATTGGAAACCAATAAAATGATACAAAGCATCCTAGTATAGATAATGCACAAGGGCAAAAAAACCAAACCAGTGCATCAAATGTGTTTATACCAGCTAATGAAACAGTGTAATAAGTTACACCCAGACTCTGCACTGACTAGAAAAAGGTATAATAGAATACCTAATTTTGGATGCTGAATGTGCAGCTCCCCTGTGAAAATAATGACTATCACTCACCTTCGTATCATAATATGTTAGTTGACCTAGGGATTTACTTAAAAGAACCCTCAGGTGGATAAGATACAGAAGTGGTAAGACTTGTATTAGTGGTGATTATATAATTAGTAGTATCTTAAACTAACATGGGAGGCTTGGAAAGCAATAATCATCCAGCCCAATCATAAAGCTAGAAAGTATGTAATCAGGTTAGGAGAAACTGATAACAATTTATAGGTAGATAAGAAACTCTGCTAAGCAATCTTCAAGAAGAGTATATAGCTATAGCTTGCTGGTTTTGCAATTCTTATTTCAAGAAAATTTTTATGATGTTAAAAATAAATAATGTACTATAAAAATTTAAATTACAATTTGTAGTTTTATTGTTTTTTTGTTTACACAAAATTACTCGAGGGCTATCTGTACTAGATGTTACAGGCTAGAAAGAAAACAGTCAACACCACCAAGTTATGGGTTACTCTAATCAAATAATGGGATTTTACTGTCACTCTTAAAATGCACACATGGTCCCAAAGTGTGCAGCATTTTTTTTTTTGCTCTAATGGGGCTCAATCCCATAGATCCACAGTATGGCATACTAAACATTGGACCATACTTGGCCCAAAGTCTAGTGATTTCAGTAAAATTTATAAAAATTTAATTTCACCAACATAATCCAGTTCTCACCAAAAAAAGGTGTTGTTAAGGCAATTTGATAGTATAAATAGCATCTCAACCACTACTACAGTAGTCAGATCCTAGCTGGCCTGAAAAGCCACAGTATTGGTTGAAAGGCTTCACTGGCATTGGCAGATATACTATAGTGTGGTTAACATATTATTATACATTTTTCCTTACTTCATGCAGAAGTTATTTTTAACTATCTATAATGCTGACAAAAATATCATGGAAAAGTACATATGGTTTGACAAATTGAAACTGTCTGGCTTATACAGATGTGTTTAACAACATAATAAACCAAATTTTAAAGTCAAACTCTCCCACTATTTCTACATTTTTCACTTGACCTAGAAGCCATTATTTGCTCTTTACTGAACAGAATCTCTGAATAACCTAAGATCAATGTCAGAACAATATATCTAGCTTGAGTTAGCTTACCCAGTATTCAATGCTTACATAATGTAGTGTGTATTTAGGATTAAATTATATAATAATCAGCAGAAAACTACTGCATTATTGACCTTAAGATACATTTTAAGTATTTAAAATGCAGCTAATGTATATACTTTAAATTATATGTGGACAATCTGGTAATGATCAATATTTATGCATAGCACGTTTACCAATTTTTGCTTCAAATTAACATTTATATTTTTTCGCCTAAAATCATCTCCTAATACAATGCAGGAATTTATAAATGCTGTTCATAACTTTCACCTTCAATCTTATGATCCCATTAGCTTTTCAAACACACCTTTCAATACTATTTATGCACCAAATTGCTTGTTGGTTGTCCCTAATACAAGTCTCACAAATACAACCACACAAAAATACCACCTCACTAATTACTGCTGGGGTTCTCTAAGTATTTTACACAGACATGAGTGGTTTCAACTAACTTTTTGGTCAATTCTTTACAATAAATGTTGTTACAAGCAAAAACACAAAATTATTCAAAATAATAGAGACTACACCAGTAGTGAATGGTATAAAAACAAGTGGATGATTTGAGGGTCAATTACTGCTTTCCTTTTTTGTTTTGGAAGAAACCAATGAAACCAAATTTATTATTAAGAGTAAACAAGAAAAAAAGAAATTTACTGTATAATACATTCTTCCACAGTAACTTCACCTGACAAATGAAGGTTGATTAATTTCTGATAAATGGAATTTATAGTTGTATATTACAGTTGTATACTGTACTCATTTAGTAGATTAAGTTGCATACTTGAGTATATTTGCCAAAGTTTGAATTTTTATAAAGTTTAAAATTCAGTACATTTTTAGCTATTCACATTTTGGTACACATAGTAATAAAATCACTTATTTAATAATACTTAAAGATTTCTTTTTTATATACTGTACATATATATATATATATGTGTGTGTGTGTATTTCCTTACCTTTACCTGTCACTCTCTTAAAATAATTGATTAAGCATTTTAGTTTTTCAGCTCCTCTTTTGTTTACACCATTTTTAACTCCAGCAAATAACCTAATAAAAGAAACAGGCCAAATTTACATATTTATACTTCTACATATAATGACATACAAATACACATGAGCAGATTTATCCAGAAATGTACATTTACACATTATTGTAGAGGGGTACTGCATTATGCTTGAAGAGTTACAAGAGTTTTACTAGATATCCATCAGCCCTTTTAATATTAGAATGAGAAACTTTATTGGAGAAAGGACTAATATGTTAAGAAACTAAAAATAAACAAACGAAAACTGATAAAACAGAAAATTGCATATTAATTCATGTAAATATATACATGGTATTCCAAGGGTTAACCAAGCACAGAATTATTTGATTATCCTTATGACTGGAGATCCATGGATGTTGTATTCGGACTGATTGAGGTATTAATATGTTGAAAGTTGAATGAATGATAGAAGACAAGGTATGAAGCTAAATAAGACAAGTATTTTAAGAACAAGAGATTACAGAATGTTTGATCATGCAAGTGGTAAGACTATTATATTATCAAGAAAATTTAATTAATTAATGAAATAAACTATATTACAACAAAAGTGAGAAAAACTTACAAGCATGTTTTGAGCCCTAAAGTTGAAATGATTCTGCTCAAAGACATCAAAACTACTTTTAAATTTCCACTTCTCTCTCTAGTTAACCAATCAGAAAAATCAGAGTTAATTAATCTGAAAGTATCCACATGACAGACATAGAACAGTTCCACACATATATGTGCATGAAATAAAAACACAATACAATAATCCCCAAAACAGTACAGTTTTCATAATTTGACTCCGCTACTAGACTTTATTAGCACATGCTCTCAACTGGATTTAGTATATTCCAAATCACAACTTCAGAAAAATATAGAAATTTTGAAAATATGAGATATATATCAGGAGAGTGAAATACGTAGATGGTATCTGCATACCCCAAATGCATGCACAGGTATATAGTTAAAACTTACAAGTTACAGTAATTTCAATCAATACAAAAGCTGTTTTTGTGACTTAATACTGAAATACAATGAGCATTTTCTTTCATAGACTAGACAGATTCTTCAAAAAAATGGTTTGGATAAAAATAGATGCATTTTAGGGTAAAAAGTTTGGAATAGCATTTTCTTGCATAACTTGGACCCAAAAGTTATAATTTTTCTACACTGAAAATGTATTTCCGACTGGTATTTACTTCTACTCACATACATAGCTATTCTCGTTCAGTTTTGCCCTCTATTTATAAAACTTTTTTTGGATACCCTAACAAAGGAACCCTCCAATAAGAAGATTATACATGGTAGATCACACCACTTTCTGTACCAGGTATACTCTTTGCCCAGATGTGAAAAAGTTGTGACAGATCCAGGCAAAAAATTGTGAGGAGCACATCCCAATGGGAGAGAAAAGGGTTGGACAGTGATCCTAGCCCCAATATATTATAATGTCATTCTCCCTGATGAACAGAATGTGGGTAAAATAAGGGATGTGCCCCAAGGTGTAGAGTGTCGAGGGCATGATGGACCATAGACGGCAAGTCAAATGCATCCAAAACTCGACCGCTGGGAACCAACATCAATGTCAAAGTATGAAAGAGGATCATACTGTTTTCACCTCAAATTTATCTGACAGGAGGGAGAAATCCAACCACCATTCTGTGAACCGGGCACATGTGAACAGAATGAAATAACATACATATATGTCCCACTCCCACCTCAAACATAGTAACATCCTTGGCATAAAGACATCAAGGAGTAGCACAAGAGAAAGAAGTGGAGAAACCAATAAGTGCAACAACCTTGACCCACAACACTGGAGTAGTGCACTAGATGCAAATTGAGTGCAGGTCTAGGGACAACCTGAACATGTGTGAGGACTTATGTTGATTGGATCAGCTCTTAATCCAAAACTCAACTGCTGGGAACCAATATACATGCGAGGATAGGATGAGGTATCCCAATTGAAGGAGTGAACTGCACTTTTTCCGACACACTACCTGTGTGAGTACATTGTGTCGATTGGTTCAGCTCTAAATCTAAAACTCAACAGGATAGGATATGGTATCTCAATCGAAGGAGTGAACTACACTTTTGCCGACACACTACGTGTGAGTAAATTGTGTCAATTGGTTCAGCTCTGAGTCTAAAATTCAACAGCTGGGAACCAACAGCCATGCAGAGGGTAGGATGAGGGATTCCAATCATTATCACAGCACTCTCCAAAGCTAAAATATCTCCTTGGACAAACCCATGCAGAGATGGAGCATCCATTTGGAAGACATCTCATTATCTACATCAGCAAAACACCACCACCCTACTCTCAACTGAATGGAGTCTTTATTGTTTATATTGTATATCTCTCATTCAGGAGAATACCTCCATGGTCCACCACCTCAGTGGCTTAGAACTGGAAAGTGGTAACAACTCTCTCACTCCCCTGAAAACAATGCAATGGATGACCAGCAATCCCCTTCTGTTTTACCCATGAAGTCCATTGGTAAGTACAGTCCAGAACAGGCATATTTATAAAGCAAAGATATTGCAAGGATTAACCTATGAGTGATCTTGTGGAAGAGCCCATTTCTAGTTTATGTGATTGTAATGAGTAGTGTGTGTTTTGTAGCCATGGAAATTATAAAAGTGAAGTCAACATGGCCTTATAGTGCGGGTTTTGGACAAATCGAGTAATTGAAGTATACATGGACAGACACCACTCGCCACAGAGTGGGATCCTGGTCAAAACATGGGACAGGCCCCTGAAAAATAATATGCATAACAGAAGAAAGAAAACTTACACGAAGATTGAAGGATGGAAACAGTTGGAAGATGGTACCCAGATGAGGAAGAATAAGCTACCCAAAGCAGATAATGGGAAATGAACGTATGAGGGATAGTCCCAGTGCTCGACAGATAGAGTACCTCCAACAGACGATGGGGTTGAGATCAGGTAAAAGGTAAGGTGCCTGAATGAGTGAAGACACCAAAAATTGATTATAAAGGCCAATCGAATCACAAGCTGAACCCAATGGGTATGGGAGGAAAGGAAAAATCATGACAGACGAGTGGTGCAAGAAAATGAAACTGCTGGAAATGGAGTCAATGGAAAGAAGCCTTGAAAGCAATGAAGCAGCCCAGAGAATGTACAGGACAGAGAAGGTAATCAGATCTGATCAAGAATAAGGTTGGAAGATGGCAAGAAACGAATATTACAAAAAAGAATATTCCACATGAGCCCCCAAAGGGTAGGTTAGTAAAATTGATCCAGAACAAAAAGAACATATCAAACCAAAACAGCCGAAAAAATCAGATCTGTGTTGGCCAGATATAATCAATTACAAAGACCTGACCCGGAGTGACATGGATGATCAAAATCACCTTGAGAAGAAAAGTGATGGAATGAGAAAAACCAGTTATAAACTGGATCTAATCCTGTCTGAACATATTGACAGCTAGAGCGAGTGGATGACGAACTGGAAATAAAAAACAAAAGAGGTAAATTGGAATCAAGAAAAAGAGTCAAACGTTTCCCATGGAGGAGTACCCTACATGAGGCAGAGCCACCAAAAATTGGGAGAAAGTGTGTTGGGACTGGAAAGGCAATCTGCAATGAGGGAAAGCACCTGTAACATGACACACCAGGAGATGTATGTCAAATGTGTGGGTTCAGAAAGGAAGATCCACTATCTACCACAAAGGGAACAAGTATGAGTGCCCCATTGGTGAGTGATATAAGCCACCACCATCGAATAGTCAGAATGAAACATAGTTAATCAAATCTGGACAAGAGGAAGAAAGTGAAGTAAAGCATGCTGAACTGAACCTCCTACTGGTCAAACCATGCCGCCCCTCCCCAACTTTAAGATGAGCATCAGGGAAGAGAAATAAATCCAGACAAAGGGTTGAAACGGTAAACCTGACGACATGGGGGATATGTTCAACTACCAACACATATAGGGAAGGAGGAATATTAAGAGAACTCTAGCAAAAAACCACGAGTCGTGCAGCATCTCCTGAAAAGATTGAAAATGTGCCAGACCCATAGAAGCCACATCCCCCAATGCATTAGAACCTCGCTAGCTGTAAAACAATGAATCATAATGGCATGGATAACAGAAAGCTATATCTAATGCATTCAAGAAGGATAATGGATAGTCCTGATGGAGGTAGGTGTTTAAAAAGACACTCCCCAAACAGTTGAGATTGTTAGGTAGATAACAGGAAAAACTTATCCAACTGAAAAATCTAAACACCTGAGCTGCTTATGTATGAAGCAGTTGACAAAGTAAAATCCCCTAAAATGCAGAAGCTGGATGAAATGCAAACCACCTGACATGGTAAAAAAAATCAAAGATATCATCCCAAGAAATGAAAAATAAGAACATATACCATGACCATTCTCAGTCCTGCAGAATTACCCACCTGAATGGAATTGAAGACTACATATTAAAACAGGGAAGATCCAAGAAGTGATTGAGGCAAGACCAATCAATCCAGAACTCCAATCAGCATTATGCGTACACAACAACTGGAGAAAGCCATAGGTAGGACAGGTAAAGGACAGGAAGGTGCCGGACATGGAACATGAATAAAGATGATAAGACTCAGAATACAACAAAAGAGCAACCAAGAAAAAAAATAATAATAGAAGTTATATTTCTGATGCGTACTTGACTCCACTCACATTCTCATTCAGTTCTGCCTCTATATGCAAAAAAAATCTTTTCATAAGCCACAAGCTTTGAGTTTTCACATACCTTACAATCAAATGCTTCAACTGTGTCTTGCATGTAAATCATCATGCGACAACCCTATACCAATAAGAGTGTGACACACACTACTGATGCATGTGACTCCTTCTATTCTATTCTATGGAACTATAACTTTGAGTTTTGGTAGAAAATGGAAATTGATGTAGAAGGGATGGAGCAAGAAGAAGAGGTATTGGAGAAGCAGACTGTAGCTAGAGCAGCCACGGAAACCATGGTTGTGCCAGCCTACTGTATAACCGTGTTTTCCACGACTGCTCTAGCTACAATCTGACCCTCCATTTCCTTTTCCTCTTTATGTGAGTGGAAGTAATATATTGTGTTGAAATATAGCATTGCAGATACCCAACGTGATGCTAAATGCACAGAAGTAGCCCTAAGAAAAGGACTGGTGGAGAAAAAAAGGACAACCTTAAGTCTTTATTAGAAGTGGATGGTAAACAAATGGTACAAAACAGTGTCCCACCCCAGAAGATCCCAAAGGCAAAGAACCCACATGTGGAGTGAAAGAATTGAAGATGGCATATGCCACAACATGGAGGGAAGGAGGAAGAGGGATCCCATGAAATTCCTGTAGATATAGGTGGAATGCCTAAGGAGGTGTAAGGTAGACATTTGCTGTAGGGGAGTTGATAGGGTAAGAAGCAGCTGGAAAACTACATAGCATAAAGAAGAAAATCTGCGTGATGGTATAGCTAAGGCAAATTGCCCCAAAGTCTGTGGAGGGTGAGGCATGTAAGTATCATCACACAAAAGAGACAAAATGCTCATCATGAAAAATAATGTCTGGAGAAGGAAGGGAAAATTATACTTTGAAACATGTCTAAAAAAGGCTGAGGTAAGCCTTAATCAGGTGGAGGAAAACTGACAAAATCTAAGTGGGCTTGGGAGTTGTAGAAGAAAGGCGAGCAATATCCGAAGAAGGTAGGATGGACCCCCGCCCCCAGGGGTCCTCACAAATTATATTAACTGTAAGAAGTATAAATTATAAAGAATTATGAAAATGAAATAGTCAATATAATGTAAATTTAAGTAAGCGTGTATTGAAATAAACCCAATGTAATTACAGTATAAATTCAACACATTAAGAACTTTGCTGAGATCAGTCAATTAGACTGGTATACTTATCAGTTCAACAATAACCCTGAATAAAAATTAATTACCAGCCTGTAACTACGGTATAACTCATTTGTGAATTTTCTTTCCTTCATTTGGGAATGATATTGAAGCCTAATATATCATATGATTCACTACTCACTCTACAGTAGATTACAGTTTTGCTGAATCATAGCTCTTCAACACTGTTTGGGAAAGCAAATCAAACAGATGCTGCAGGACTACATATAGTGGTTAAATGCAAATATTTTGTAGGATACGTTGCAACGTACATTTAATAAAATCCTACAAACTGCTGTCAATCAATTTGTGGTGAGAATGATCTTCTATGCATGTGTTTATTTTATTATCAATAACAGGTTTTGTTTCTTTCAAACTTATATATGTACCTGTAAATAGTATGCATGTTTGATATACACATTTATTTTTGACATGTTTTTAAGCAAAAAAATGCATATTTTATACAGATACACATCTTATCAGGAGCATTTAATATTTACTCTTGTTGTGTCTTTCATTGTACAGTATTTTCAAATAATGATGGATCCAAAGTGCACAAACTATAATTCTGAAATTCAACAAACTACTGCATCCATCATTACCTGAAAGTTACAGAAAACAAACAAACATATCACAGCCACCACCAAATGCAAAAATACTTATGCAAAGAATAAAAAAGAAAGAAGCTATGTTAATCTTAAACATTGATAAACTTTTGTTATATCCATTTTAAAAATGTGGTGTTCTGTATCTCCCACACAATTTGAGTAGTTTATTAATGCTGATAAGACTCTTCTAAAAAAAACAAAAACATTTTATGAATTGTGTCTCATAAAATTAAAATATTATATCACTGATGGTAGTTCTGTATACCTTATATAGATTAATGCAAGTTATAAAGAAAATTGGTATCTGACTGTATGGTATATAGCTTATTATCCTGTAGATGACACACTATTGCTACAGTACTCTTCAATATAATTTTCCCAGGATATAACAGTTGACTGAATAAAAAAAGAATGCTATAAAACTGGTATTGAGAAAATTTATTTTGTGCAAACATGTAAAATCTCAAAATTAGGCTTGGTAACAGGTATTTTCAGATTCACCAGGTCCAATTTATGTTAAAAGTAATGATACCAACTTTTAACTCAAAATGCCTTCTGACATTACTTTTTGGAAATTGCAACTGGTCTACTACATGTTCCCCTATCAGACTCCTGTCAACAGAGCTGTAGCCAGTCATTTTTGTGCACTGGGTAAGTTTTACAACCTGCAGCCCCCCCTTTTTTGTAGCCCATGCATGTCAATCAGCTGGTAGGTTTGCAGAAGTTCCATATAGTGTAAAGCATTTTAGACTTGCAGAAAAAATTTGTTATTCATGGTCGCTATTCCATCAAAATCAAGTGTTTTCATAACATAGGATAGTTATTAAAGAAAGTTATTTTAAAGATAATTACTAGAACCTAAATGAATTATCCAACAAATCAATGTTCCACATTTAATTATAATAAATCTCATTTTTTACTTTACTTTATATCAATGACAGATACTGTAAAAACCTGATTATACTGTCGAGCATGCTTCCTGTAATGTTTGGTAGCAGAAATTTAGGACTTTCCGGAACATTGAATACGCTATTTCTAAAGTCTTATTTTTCCTTTTCCTAAAAACATTTAGATATTAGGAAAGAAGCATGTAGCTAAATGAGATGGCAAATACTACAATACTAAAAAATATAAAAATAATCATGATATATGTTATAACTTAAGAACAAGATGACGTAGTTGAAGAATAAGAAGTGAAGACAGTAACTTTAGTACCATACCATACTAAACAGAGCAACTTATCCTGCTTAAATCGGATGATAAATTCAAATGGTAAGTTTTTATATTTGCGCTCCAGTCTGTATAGTTTTGCACTGAATAAAAGGCTTAGTGCTCAGACTGCACCCCCCTCTGGATGCACCCTAGGCAAATGCCCTTCCCACCCTACGTCTCTGCCTGTCAATAAAAAAATTTATGAAAGTTATTTTACACTTCTTTTAATGTCACAAAAAAAGACCATGGAATTGGTGAAACAAACGACTTTGTAGACAAAATTACACAATAGGCTATCTGTGCTGTATCCACTACAGGGATCAAACCCTGAATCTTAGCATTATAAGCTTACTGCTGAGGCACCAGAAGGATTAACAAAACATGGTGAGTCACTATTAACAATTAATTGTATAAATAATAATGTCAGAAATTTCAAAAGGTGACGTGTAAGATAATATACAAGAAAATAAATTATAAATATTTATCAGAAATAAATATACAACTGGCTTAGGATAAGTGTTCTCTCTAAATTGCTCAAGTTCACTTTAAATACTTCCCAATACAATAAACACCTGAACTACTTATACAGAGGGTTGAGTATGTTACATTAAAATGATTTTGAATACACAAATAAGTAAGCCATGTCAAACCATAACCAATATAAAGTTGTGGTAGAGCAGTATGCATCAGAATTTTGACATTGTTTTGTGTTTATCACTTTTGGGAAGGATATGTAACAGCCTTTTCTATTGCAATATACTCATAAATTCAAATTATAAACATATGTTGAAATTGGGGATTTAGAATTTCCAAGACAGGGATAGTCTTTATAATTAATGGCACTGGAAAGCAAACAAGTACAGATCAACTTGAGATAGCAGGACCAACTAGAAAAATACCTGCAACAAGCCATACTCCAACTGTGGTAAGAAAAGAGTAGAATTCTTTTACAGGTGAGAATCCATTAACACAAAGGTTAGTCAGTTAGTGGCAAAGTTGTCCACATGCCCCAGGCAACAGTGCACAACATAATTTAATTAAGAATGATCTCTATTTGAGGAAGTGACACGCGTCATGTGTACACAAATTACTTCCCTGACATATCCATTCATCTGTCGCATGCTTCAAGAAGCTGGAGAATAAAATGGGTGTTCATGCTATTTAGTATAAAGACATATCACTCAAATCACCAAACATATTTCCTATAGATTGCTGTGCAATTAGACTGTTGAAGTGGTTGCTATGAAACTATTATATTCATACACTAGATTTATGAAAGCATAGAGGAAGAAGTACTGTGTTTTGGACATGACATCCTTAGACCAGAGCCTTTTGCAATGGATACTTTACTGCAAGGCTATTGTCAAGATTCATGGTTATGAGAAAGAGCATAACTGGACATGGTGACAAGGACAAATAAACAGGGTGACTTTCCAAAATCATTTAGTATAATGTACTCAACCTTTGTATGTTGTGTTACACAATTATAGTGTGACAACATAATTAATGGGTTTTTTTTTATAATTAAAGTAACTCTTCAAATTTAACAATAAAATCTATACCTGTTGAAGTTGATGTCTGGAAAAGTTGAGTATTCAGAATCCCTCTTTTGGGAATTTCGTCGTGGAAAAGTGCATAAGAAAGCATTTGCCAGTAAAGAAGCTATCTGCTTCTGGCTTAGTGTGATGGAATGGTTCCTATGTTTAGTAAGCAGGGGGATAGGCTAGAAAGTAAATAAACAAGAATTATAAAGGTTTATCATATAGAGAAATTAAATAAAAATGCTACTTTTTCTCTTTTCTCTTTGTTTCAAATTTATTTGATCCAATTATGTAAAATGTTTAACAGAAGAATGAAATATAACAACCTGTAAGATTGTTCACTTGACTTTACAATAAGACAGATGATAATTTTTAACAAGTCTTCTTTACTGGCCCTATACGGGTTTCAAGTAATAAAAGCATAATAGATTCCAATCATACATCTTGGATGCCATATGCCATCACTCAATACTAGAGAACATTATACTGGCATGGAAAGCAATACAAAGTCTTATTGTGATGCAATGTCACACAAACAATCAATCTACACATTACACATAAGGTGTTACATACTATAATATTATATACTAGCTGTGTGACCCAACAAAACATTTGCAATAGTTTTATTGCCATTTGCTTCAATTTTCACTATTCTTTCATTTTTGTGCACACCATCTAGCTATGCTTTCTTGCAGGCATTATGTGTTAGATCGATAAATCCTGGTCTATTTGAAAAAGTTTTAGGCAGTCAGACAAACAAACTCATGCAGACATAACTTAATAAAACTACCTCTAAAATCAACAATAAAATAATAGATTTTATAATAATGTACAGAGTATGAAACAGAGTATGACAGTTTTACAAGTTGAAACAAAGAAACTCACAAAAATGAAGAATATAACCCATAATAAAGAAACATGTAGCTAAAAGGTGTTTATAACAGTCTTAGAAAATAAACCACACCTAAGTTATTGCAAAGAAAAGTAAACGTAAAGTTGTAATAAAGGCAAACTTAGCTGAATGTGCAGAAACATCTGAATGTGTGTTCACAAAGTGTTAAACATATGGTTTTGAATGTACTGCACATGCATATTTTAGACCTAAATAAGTTGAGAAATCCCACAGTGTATTTAGTGTAATATTATGATTTTATAAGGAAATTACACGTGGGTTAAGTGTTGTTGTTTGTTTGAAATACTTTGCAAATAAAAAACTAAATTTGAAATTGAAGTCAGTCATCACGTGATGACAACAACATTGTGCCATTGTGTACCATACTTATTGCATTAAAAGTTTGACTACGCAAAAACAGGTAAGGTGATTCTGAATGGAAAGCCAATATGCAATCCAAACTCCTCAAACAAAGGCCTCTCTAACAATATGAGAATTATAGAATTTGATTGAAAAATTTGCAAAGAAAGTTCCAGACAGACAAACACAAGTGTATTATTTATATAGATGTTATAAATGACTGATATAAAAAGCATTTCGATTGAAACTTTGTGGGTTGCATACCTAGCCAGTAAAGAAAGATTTTGTAAAATATTATTATCAGTTTTATTGTGATGTGATGTCACTCATACAATCTACAGAACATGCTTCACTGGTAGGTGTTATAAAACCGATTTCCATAAAGAGTGAATTAGGTAGATTCTCTACATAAAGAGAGGTTTAACAAGATATATTATGAAGTAACTCCAAATTCAACTTGAACTAACCAAGTCTGTGCTAAGAGTTAAATGGCCATTACTCAAGTGTGTAAGACACAATGAATCAATCTTTATTTAAAACACAAACACAATGTGTATGTAATTGCTCTGGATATGGGAAAGTTGCCCTTACTGGAGAGGCAGCTTTAATCAGACTGCCATTATTCCCTCAAGATTTATCTTACAAGTGACCAACTTACTCAAAATGTTGTTCCAGACTGTTATACAGTTCAAATGGTAATGTCAAATTTACTGAGAGTGATTAGCACTACCCACTTGATGGTCATACCATTAGAAAACAAGGAAGGTTGTAACCTTGAGATATCACCAATCTACCATTGGAGAATACAGCTGTCTACTTCCATACACAAGGTGCAGATAAACCTACTACAGGCAGGCCAGAACAAAGGTATTTAAAATGAATGCAACTTAAATTTCTTGATAATGTATTATGTAAAAGCTACACATACTTGTAACAAATGAAAAAGTTTTGAAAAATTCCTATATTAAAATAAGGCAGAAAATGCATTGTGTGCTTGCACATTACAATGTTTTTAATTTGATTTACATTTTTTATTTTGTCATATAAGTTATTATTTTCATCATTAACAGAAAAATATAAAGGGTTTGATGGTATTTTAACTCATAACATATTAACTAATTAAACCAAAATGTAACTGACAATCTACATGTTGTTTTAGTTTCCTTTTATTCTATAAGCTTTTACCTCAATTACTTGAACCTTTGATAGGTTTAAAACATTCAGTTATTAAAAAAAACTAAAGAAACAGTTTGAAATATAAGTTGCCTAACAGCTATAATAACAAAGGTGTGCCCTCTGTAGTTTTACAACAAAGATTTTTGAGCTCTTATTGTTCATTTTACTAATTTTCAAAAACATATTTTAAAGCTAGGTTGTATATAAAATTGTTTCTACCACAATTTTAATTTTTTATTGACAGAAATCATAGTTTATAAAAGTGTTTCAAAATATGTTTTTAAAAATCAGTGATAGGTCTGACACAGTTTAAGATTTCATAAAAGGAACAAAACAAAAAACACAAACACTGAAGGGTTTAGCTGAAACAATGCAAACGTTTTTTCACATTTCTTACACTTCTTACCTGGGTACAAATATCTGGTAAATGAAGGGCAAGGTCTATGATTCCAGGTAAAACTGATGAAAAAAACTCTGCCCCATTTTGATAATTAAGTACCTACACACAAAAAACAGCCATTAAAATTTACTTAGGAATTTCTCATGGTTGTGTAAGGCACTTGTATAGAATCATAACTTCTCCTAACATTGAATAAATACCAATATGCCATAATAATAAAACTTGTATGTGAGCAATATAGTATATCATCAGTGTATATTTTGTTGTACATCATTTTTCAATAGTTCTGAATGTGACTGTAAACAAATTTTCATGGTTGTATTATATATACATTTTTATACAATACATAGGAAACAAAATTACACATCAAATTAAAGACACAATTAAGAAACGTGATATAAACTTCTTACCATGTTTACAATTTTAAAATTTACTGTTTTACTAAAAAACAACTAAATTCATCCCAAGGATTTTGATGTTAAATTGGAACCACCTACTGCAACAAACAATAAATGAAATATTCTTCTCTTCATTAATTAGTAAGAATATTACTATAACATATATGTGAGATCAAAAATCTGTGGAAGCTAATGTTAAAATGCAAACATCAATACAACGAAATACAAGTGCTACTTCAGCAACAGAGTTTACATTTCTAACAAATTAATTCTTTCACTATGGGCTCAATCAATTCAGATGAGTTTGTGGCTCCACACCAACCTTTAGATTTTCCATATTATAATTTCTAATATATTTTGTGTATCTTCATGAAATTTCACAAGATTTTGTCTTTAGTAGAAAAAAAAAGACTTTTTTAACAAAGTATTTTTATTAAAAATTTCTCTGTGAATATGTGGTGTCAAAGTGCTGACTGCTCCTAGTGCAAAGTGATTTTCATTTTGAGATTGAATATAATTCTCTACATCTGAAAATTGTCAAGTTTTATTTGCATAATCTCCAAAACATTCTAAATAAATTTCAAAATGTTTATTCAGTAAAACTTTATATCTTATCTGTTATTTTCTCTACCCTAACTATATGCAGGATTGAACAATTAAACTGACCTCATAACCACCATAAAAAATAAGAAACAAATATAAATTACCCTTTTTTTCTTTCTAGAATGACTGCAAATAGTAAAAGGTAACTACATTTGTTTGTCCTAAACAGCTTAAAGCTCATAGCAGTATACATCTGTTTCTAATTACATTTTATTGTTTTATTGCCCTTGGAACAGTGTCTAACTAATAATCCCACCACACAAGTTGTAAATCACTTGGCAAACAGGTAGCTCATGTTACCCAATCAAATTATATAACACACGAGCATGTGAAAATTATTATTATTTTTTATCTTACCTAATCTAATCTTATTTAACCTAAGTTTATAATTTTTTACATTTTAGTTACTTTTATAATAATTAATAAAAATATAGCTGAACAAGTTGTTTAAATATTTGTTTAACAACAAGTAAAAGCTTGGAATAGTCTATTCTTTCATTGGGAGTATGTCTGTGGGCCAGACTAGTTTCAGAGAATTCCACTCCTCATTAGTGACCCTGGACACAACCACTGATTGAAACTTCAGACCAAACCAAGCCTTTATAGTAGTGAGGTATTAAGAATGGAAATGGAGTTTTTAAGTGTTTTACACTCACAAAAAAGAAACCTATCATTCTATAGGTATTTGAAGAACTTAATGTGTGTAATAAAATTTAATATTTTTTTCTTTTTATTCCTTCACTTCATACATAATATAGGGGGTTGGCTCCCTAAAGACACCAATTGTATAGTGTATAAAGTATTGTGTATTCCACATGTTACAGTCATCAACCATTGACTAGTAATTCCTGTTTCTTCCTGTACTTAATTTTTAAAGGAAAACCATATTTCTGTCAGAAAGCTAACTTCAAGGGGGAATGATTTATATTAGAATTATGATTTTTAATTTATTTTCATTACTACTAGTTATTACAACTAAGCGATGACATCTTGCACTGCCCAGGAACCCATAGAGTGGATTTAGATTTAAAGTGACATTGGTGATAAAGTAGTTGTAGAATTATCTTGACTGAAACAAGAAGATGAAAGATGAACAATTTGGTGTGTTGGTCACTTTCTAGTTTGGTATCTTAGCAATGGTTTCTTGCCTTGTTTTCAGTCTTTTTGGTAGAGAAACAAATGAATGTAAGTGGCAATCATCTTTTAAAGAAAAACTCTCTGTCATTGTTAATTTTGTAGCATGCATATTTGTATTATGCCTAATGAGTACCTATTTAGGTTTGTCAGAGATGTTTCCTAGGTTATAATGGCACTAGTTCTCTGTAAGAAAGTTTACAAACATGGAAAATCATGGATGAACTGATCAAAGTGGAGAAAAGAAGAAAACCCCAAAACTGACATAACTCATCCTGGACAGTACACAAGGAAGAAGGCAGAGAAGAATAGGCATAAAGAAAGTTCTCTCATGAGTCAATCAGAGCATTCACAACTAAGGAGTTTTGGTCTGAAACTGGACACCAGTAGAGTGGAAGACAATAGTTTGTCTGAAAAAACAAAGACAAGCAAACACAGAAAGAAAATGTTTAATTTAAAAAATAGTAATACTTATTTTTAAAAAACCTGTTATTTTTTTGTACGAAAGCCTTGTAATGTTTACTAATAATCTGCAAAATATTTAATTAATAATTTTATTTTATGTGAAGAAAAGATTTATAATGTTTACTAAAGACTACCAAATTTCATGAAGATACACTAAAGCATTCAAAGTTATAATATGTATAATTTCATGGTTACATGATGGTTGCAAGGTCATTCAAAATGACTGAGCCCATATAGTGTGCATTAAACATTATATTTTTTACAAAAACTAAATAAAAACACACCAAAAGAACATATCATATTTTTTCATTTGTTTTCACTCATGGATACTTAGAATTATAAATGCTTATACTAAAAAGAGGAAACACAAATAAAATAAATCTGCTAATATAGCATTAACTTGTCTCACTTGCTGAAACATGAGCTAAACTATAGTAAAATTCTTTCTGGTGTACCTAAGCTTCTTGCTGTATTTTATTGTCAGCAATAATTTTGCAAGTTTACAGCTGTATAAAGGTTTTAAATTTCAAATAATGTTTCACTTTTCTAAACCAAAATTTCTAACTCTAATATCCCTAAAAGTACATGTGTTAATATAGTTTTCTTCTAGTACTTCTTTCATACAAGCACTGTTTCTCAACAACAAATGGCCAAGAAGGGAGCTCAAAAGAATAATTTTTCATTATTAACCATGAACTCATGTTATCTTTTGACTATATAAGTTGTTTAGATCAAGTTCTCATAGCTGTCAGCTCACAAATACAGGCATATTAAACTGTTAATGTTTAAAACAGTTTCTACCCTTTTACACAAGTATTCAAGGTAGATCAATGAAGAGATAAAGATTTTATGACTTTTTATGCATCAGCCACACTATATAAAAAAATAAGGTGCAAAAGCTATAAAAAACTTGACAAAGAAAATTCTACTAAGAAACCGTTATATAATCCAGTTCCCAATAATTCTTATGCAAATTATGATTTTTTTAGTGCAAAAAATTGGATTGTATTAACAAATCTGTATGCTTAATAAACTAATAAATACTTCAGTAAAAAAAGTATGTAGTCCTCGAAAATCCCATCTCTTTGAATACTGGCTGTTGTAGTTCAGTATGGCTTCCTGAGGAAAAAAAAAAAGGTTTTCAAGTCTGCTTAAATAAAAAAATATATAATATATACTTAAATAATGAAATGAATTTCTACAATAGCAAAACTGAAGGATTTCAGCTTCATCTACCTTCTGAACTCCAACTGTTTTTTAAATATAATCTATTATAGCACCCTGGAAAAATTTTTCTTTAATTTAGTAGAGACTGTTTTTGAGTTTCCACATTTTTAAAATTGTACAGGTCTCAGTAAGAAATCCAAAATCACCAGTAATGTCAATGAAATTGTTCAGGTCCTTTGATGTATGTGAATAGTGTGAGTGTGTATAGTATATAGTGTGTGTATATGTATATACACATACTTCAAACACTCACTTCAATACATGCAACTGAAGTAAGTTTTGTACACTTCAGTAAAGATAAAAAAAAATTTATTAAGATTTTTCATTCTTAAAGAACTAACCCATTTTTTATGACAGGTTGCTGACTTACAAATCCTTAGAGTCCAGTAACATAGAAAAACTGGATATTTATTGTAGCTTTTTATACCTAGGCCAAATTACGTATGTTTCTATATTTACAAGCTCAAATACATTATTGTGTTAGCATAAAACTGAGTTAACTCTGCAAAACTAAAGCACAGTTATCTATATATCTAGCAAATATTTAATTACTTAATTTCTTTTCTTTAAAAATATGAATATAAAAAAAATTATTTTCACAGAGCATTCCAGTTTCAGTGAAAAAAAAATCACTGAATAATTTTATACTGTTTTTGGGTCAATTCTGACAATGAGTTTATAAATCATTATTTCTAAAAACATTTACTATCACTCACCTAATAATTACAGAAATGGAACTGCATTGTGTAACAACAGCTACACATTCACAGATGTAATCAACAAACCAATCCTATAATCCTTATGATAAATTGTTAGAAACTAAAAGTTTAAGTACTTTCATTATATAACAAAAAATTAATCCCATTCTCAAGTGTTTACTCAAATTAGTGTTTTGGTGTATTTACTTTAGACCTCTACCCAATATAAAAAAGATAGATGATAATGAAATATTTGACAGCAAATTTCTACAGATTATGAAAACAAGTTTTATAAACACATGCATCAGAAAGGAATTGCTAGAATTACATAGTTTTACTGAAAAGTTCAATAATCAATGTTCTGATTTGGTTAATAAACTTATGGGTACAATAAATAGTATTTAAACTGCAATAATGTGCACTCCCCAAAGCCAATCAAATTTGCCGTTGTGTCTCTACACTTAATGAGATAAGCTATAAATTAAAAAAAAATCCCACTACAGACTCTCAGTGAATAAACTGCGAGTTTTAATTTTACTTGGAATATCCAATAATTTCTATATTTAACAATTACGAAATTTAATATATCCACATACCACAAATTCACATTTCTTGTGCCAGTGACAGATTAAATCTTTTACTTAAAACTGATGTATAATGGTATTCCCTTTTCTGTTAACAATTACCAACATAAAACAGTAAATATTAAAAACTATAATGATAAGTAATAATATAATAAAATCATAACAGTAAGTCTTAAAAACAACACCAATAAAAAAAATTCATAAAGAGACTAAGTTGACAAACAAAAAGATAGTATATAATGTAAAGTTCAGTAAAAGCTGTTTAAATACCAACAGTATTTAACCATTAAATTACCAGCTTGTTCTCATACCATCCACTATCAATATACTTCACATTTTTACATCATGCTTAAAAATTAGGTCTTTTTGCCTGTTACAGCACTCAGTGTAAATAAGACAAAAAGTATGTGACATCACAAATGTTTTATGTAAAATATATATATAAGGGGGAACCCCCAGCAGTGAATTATTGGGGTTAATTGCACTATTCCTGGTATTTTTTTTTTACATTTTGTTTTGTAACTATTATGCAGTTAGAAGCCTTGCAACCCCAAAGTCATGAACCCACAAATAATTTGGAGCATAAACAATTTTGAAAAATGTAATGGTTCAGTAACAACCCCAAAAGTAATTTTAGCACTAATATCCTGTTAAGAACGTAATATTGTTTATAATATTCTCAAGCCATTATTTTCTTTTGATAAAACATCTGGAAAAATATTGTCATAGTTAGTAGCTTATATAATAATCTAAACGTAACTGCTAATTAACTACCAACGTTTATTATTATTATTAGATTCACTCAGCATGTTCAATAAACTTAGCAGCATCCCAAATTAACCTCCTCCATTCCATCTTTCTCTGAGCTCTTTTCTTGGAGTTGTTCCATCATTAATCCTGTCATATTTCAGATAAGGTCTTTCCATCTAAATCTATTTCAGGCTGCTATTTCAATTGGCAATATGCCCAAAATAGTTCAGCTTTCTTTCATATGCAAATTTCAGTGATGTTTTTTAGGTCTTATATATGCCAATATTGACTTATTACTTTTCCTTGCCACCCATGAAATTTGTAAACTTTTCTAAAACAGCTAAGTTCAAATGCCTAAATTTTTCTTTTGCTCTCTTCATTCTCCAAGACTTTCATCCAAACAGGACAGCTGAGTAAACAATGGAGCATAGCACCCCAAATTTAAGACTTAGTGATAGCTTTTTGTCATTCATCACATTAGCCCAAGCCTTTTCCATATTTCTGGTGTGCAATTCCTATTTGTGTTGATAATTGAACCCATATATTTGAATAATTCTATCTCCACCTTTACCATCCACAATCAGTGGTACCATTTTTAGTCTCTGGCTATCAATTACCATAATTTTTGTTTTCTTTGTACTTAGAAGTAGTCCCTCTCCTCTGATCCTTAACATTTATCAAAATTACCACAATTTTTGTTTTCTATGTATTCAGATATTTCCCCTCTTTTCTGCTCCAGTCCTTAACATTTAAAATCATTTAAGGAGGATGGTTGACACTTGAATACCTTCCAGTTTGATTTTCTTATAATGTTTTCAACACATAAATTATGTGACATCACAAATCCTTGTTTTACACCCTTCAAACTTTCATATTGCTACGTTTTAATCTCATTGTTGTTTCTTGACCTCTATATAGAATACAAAAAATTTGGTCAGATGAGATGAAAAACCCATTAACTTCAATGCTTCCCATAGTAAATTGTGTTTTACTAACCAAAGGTCTTCACAGAGTTGATGAAACACTCATATAATGGCTTGATGAATTCTATGCAAGTTTGAATCATGCTCTGAATATAGAAAATTTAATCTTCCATTCCATGTTTATTCTAATCACATATGGTTCATAATTATCTTTTATAGGATTTTGCTAACATGACTAATAAAAAAAGATATATTAGATACTAAAGAGTAATTAGTTACTAACTTATTATTACTAAATACTAATTAACAATCAGTTTATATCCTACATTTTGGTTGCTAATTTGCTGTCACCTCAAGGAAAGCTCTAAGGAGTATGATGTACACTGTATAAACTAACATTTGATCCTGAGTCTTCCTGTTTGAAAGGCAGGTGTGTTATCAACCCATTCAGGACTTTGAATCAACTACCTGGATGGTTTGATGAAGAATATCCACATTTTGCTGAGTTCTATGCTAGGTTGGCTGTCTGTGTTATTAGTTAATTGGATGTGAAAGGTTTTTTTTAATCTTTCTCTTTCCTTGTGTGTGGTATTATTTTAATGTTACTCGATTTTATTATAAGAACTTACCGTCACATAGATATTTTCTTAGAGCTATCCTGAAGGTGGCAGCAAATTAGCAACCAAAATATACAATATATACTAACTGGTGTTTAGAATCTAATAATGATAAAAAAACAAAAAACATGGTAATAGTTAAAAAAGTAATTAAACTTAGATGATCATGTATGTTATAACATGTAATCACAACAACAACCGATATCCAAATACCATAAAAATACACTGACATCAATAAATTTACAAAACAAAAATTATTAAAGAAATATGTGTTTTATCAATGAAAGACATGTGATAAAGTTTACAAATTTAGAATATAGTGTAAATTTTCTAATTAAATATATACAGGGTGTCTCAGAAGTCTGGACCCATAGGGAAAAATAGACATAATATTCTTAAAGTTCAACAAACACATTTCTAATGTCAGTTGTACATATTCATGAAAGAAAATACCCTAATGGCACAGTATACCAAGAATTGATATGTGTGTATAGCTGTTAATGGAACGCAGTTTGAATAATAAATAAATTATTTAAGAATAAATTGTTAATTTTTCCTATGGGTTCAGACTTCTGGACAACCTGTGTGTGTGTATATATATCAATATGCATTCATAAACACAAACAATTAACATTTTATTTAGATTACAAACAAAAAACTTACTTCTAAATCCCAAGATGACATGATAGGAGCACTTAGTGTTTTTTGTATTAGTTCCCATCGACTTTGAACTTTTCTGCCACTACCCTGAAAGAAATCCACAAGCTTCTAATTGAAGAATTTTAATTTTGCAATTACCATACCATATTATTACAGTTTTGATAAAGTCTGAATCAATTACTAGCTTTTCTAAAGACTACTAATTAAGTATCTTCAATAGTTAGGTTCTTAATATAAGACAGAAAGTTATGAAGTGGAATAAAAAATACATCTTTAACTGTGTTTAGAAATAGAGTCTTTTTAAAAAAACAAAGAGAAGCAAATGTATATATTACATTTCTATGAGAATCAATCTGTTCCTTTCCCAAAAACAAGTAGCCAAGATAATGTGCTGACATTCACTCCATGTAATTCACACTAGAATTAAATATTAATGAACAACTGTTGATACTGCAGTAAATGTTTACATGCACACCTATACTTTTTTTCAGGTTACAATATAATGTACAAGGGTTTTACTTGTTTTCAGTACTACTGTCAAATATAACTACTCTAACAACAATACCACACAATAACATATTTGGTATTATAGAGTACATAGATACTGTTCATTAATATCAACTTTGTTGAATGATAAGTCTAAATCTTAAATTGCATCCTCATTGTTTCATTACTAGAGTGTTCAGCAATTATTAACCATGTATCAAACAATGTTGCCTTGTTTTGTTACTAGAACACTCCAACCTTGTTGACTATTTTCCAGGTGTGGTGTTTACCAATTACTACCAATATTTTTTAAACAGTATTGCCTTGTTTCTTTACTAGTGTTAACCCTATCTGCCCTGGCATTCTTTACTACACACATCACAAAGGCATTATTAGAGCATTCAGCAATTAATACCCATGTATCAAACAACGTTGCATTGTTTTGTTCCTAGAACACTTCAACCTTGTTGACTACTTTTCCAGGTGTGGTGTTTACCAATCTGTACTAATATTTTTGAAACACTATCGCCTTATTTATTCACTAGAGTGTTAATCCTCTCTGCTCAAGCATCCTTTACTGCACATCACAAGAGTTTTAGTGAGTTGCATTCAAAAGTTTATTAAACTACTTTTTATTTATGTTATGCCAATTAGTATAGCATAAAATCATAGCTAATAATCCATATTTTAATAGTATACAAGTTTTAAGTTCTTAATTTTATATGGCAATATTTAAAAAAATCCTGGATTTCTACTAGTGTGAGAAATGTGACTTTTTTTTCTCTAGGCATCCCCTCTTCTCTAATTTTTTCACCATCCCTCCAATTACTCACTGTAATTTCGTTATCGTTCTGACAAAGCATAATTTTATTAGCTTTCAATCTTGTTTGGTCATAAACTTCGTTCCCATGGGAAAGATATCATCTGATTGGTCAATTCGACCAAGCCTGTGTCATACTCACCTCATACAAGCCTTACAACCACTAAAGTACTCGTAAGTATTAAATATAATCAATGTTTAGTCCTTTAACGTTCTCACATGCATGTTTTGTATAGTACACTGTAGTTAAAAAAGCCATATTTCACCCTTTAAAAAGTTCTTCAAGAGTGGACTGAACTTTTTTCAGAAAGCATTGCCCACACAATACATGTAAAGATTGTGTTGCTTAACGTTGTTTCAGATGTACGTTACACTTTCCAGAAACGAATCACGACGTACAAATGGGGACCCCTGTATTCAATTAAGCAGTTTCCATGCAGCTCAGCTTTCACAATAGTCAATTAGTATTTAAACATGCCAAACTCTATATCCTTGGAACAATTTGGTAAAGTATAAAAATATATTCAAAGATATACACACTTTATAATTGTTTATTGTTGGATATACAGAGTACAATATCTATGATTACAATATTTCATCAGGTTAACCTGGCATCATCAGATACAACAACTATAAGAAGTGAACTCCTGAGCTAGATAATAATAAAAAAAAAACTAGCAGGCGGATACATTGGTATTTTATTAATTGAATTTAACAAAACTGCAAAACATAAAAAAGATGTTGCAAGTGGTCAAACATCTAAAGCTATTTTTCTATATATGAGAAATCTCGATCATAAAATCAGCTAAACTAACATATGAAATTGGAACTTATGTCAAGAGAAAAATTGTGAATGTTTCATTAAATCAAAAATTGCCAAACTTCAAACACCACTGAGGGCCAATTTAAGCTGAACTCCCCCTCTGATGTCATAAGCAACACCAATGAAAAGGGGGCATGGAGGGGGAGTCGCTGGCTCTTGACCACCCTCGTCATGGTCTTTTCTGCTATTTTCTTTACCCTAACATTCAGTAACTTTGATCGACCTCATAACCACCATAAAGAAACTAAATAATTATTCTAAATTACCCTTTTTTTCTTTCTAGAATGACTGCAAATTGTAGCAGGAAACTACAGTTTTTTATTCTAAATAGCTTAAACCTCGTAACAGTATTCATCCATTTCTACTTAAATTTTATTGTTTTATTGCCCTTTGAAGTGTGCCTAACAAATAATCCCACTAAACAAGTTGTAAATCACTCGATGAACGTGTAGCTCACATTACTATATCCAGTTATGTAATTCACAAACTATACCTTGTGAATAATTTTTATTATTACAGTTTTTCTTTTTTTGACCTAATATAACCTTAGCTAACCTAAAACGTTTCTATTCTGCACATATTATTTACCTCTACAATAATAAATAAAGAATACACATGAAAAACAAGAAATATAGTACTTACCTGTTTTTTTTTTTTTTTGCTGTCAACTGATGATGAAAATCAAGTCTAATTCTTTATGCTAATTGTACTACTACATTAAATAATTTCTTATTTAATTAAATAATGCACTTAAGAACACTGAATTATACAAGCAAAATGCAATGTCCTATAACTGGGTCTCCTTCTATTTTGCTGTTGACTGCAATGAAACACATAGACAATGCATTTTATAATGGAAGTTTAAAAACCTTTAACTCTCTCATCATGGAGTCGGTTAATTTGACTGAATCACGTGACTTTTTGTACTCACTAAAAGTCTTTATAAATTTAATACTTATAACTCTCGATATATTGGGTATATCTTCACGAAATTTGGCAGTCTTTCAATTTATAAGTCTTTCACTTATAAAAAATATCATATTCCTTAGTGAAGTATTTTAAATAAAATAAAATAAAGATTTGTCCACAAATAAATTGAGTAGTTGTTTTGAATAGTCCGTGTGCAAAGTAATTTTCATGTTAAAATTAAAAATACTTTTCGTCATCTCAAAAATCTCAAATTTTTTTTTGAGTAATCCCTAAAACCTTCTAAATGTATTTCAAATGTTTCTTCCACTAAAACTTTATAGTTTATCTGTTATTTTCTCTATCCTATCTCAAAACGGGATCAATCAATTCGACCAACCTCGTAAACCACCAAAAAAAAATTGAAATAAACCTAAATTAACTATTTTTTTTTATTTCTAGAATGACTTCCAATTGTAACATGAAACTACATTTGTTTATCCTAAGTAGCTCTAAATTCGTAACATTATACATCTATTTATAATTCAATTTTATTGTTTTATTGCCCTTTGAACCGTGTCTAACTATCTGCACCATTACAAGTAGTAAATCATTCGGGTAATGTGCAGCTCATGTTATGCTATCGAATTACATTACCCACAAGCTGTTCACGTGCGTGCGTGCATGCCTCGTGAACCATTTGAATTATATTATTATTACTTATTTTACCTAATCTAGTCTTGAAAAACTTAAAAAGTCTGTATTTTTAATTGTAGTTACTTTTATAATAATAAATAAAGAATAAATATGAAAAATAAGAA